TGTGGTGATCGCGACGCTGAGTCACCATCACCGCACCTCTTAAGGATGCGGGCCGCTTCCCGCGAGACACGGCCGCGCGCGAAGCCGCGGATTGCTGCCTGCGAGTCGCTGATTACGATCGTAGCGTTCGGCACCGTGGCGATTGCTAGGGCTATCGCGGCTTCTTCGGCCGCCTCCGTATGTCCCGTGGTCACCGTGGCGCTCGCGAGGCATTTGCCCGCACGGTCAACGACCGCAGCGGCGTGTGCGTGTCTCCCGTCCCCATATCTCGCGGCATCTACGTACACAACTTCGTCGCTAGTGCCGTACTTCTTTTGAAGGTCACTAGCTCACTGGTTACGGCGCCCGACGTGGTGCGTCGGGTGCATATTCTTAGGAAGCGGTGGAACAATTGGGCGGTCGCGAACCGAGGCAGGAACATCCGCTTTTTCTCCCTGCTGAGTGTGGTACCGGATGCCAAGTGACTCGAGGATGTGTCGACCTGTCTTAGACCCCGACAAGCGTTCGTTTTGCGAAACGACATGGGCCTCAATTAACTCGTCGAGTGAGTTGTGCAGTCCAAGTTCTAGTAACTTTTCAGTGCTCGCATTCAGTGGAACTCCTATTGCTCTCTTGAAAGCCTTTCGTATTATACATTCGATCTTGTTTTTTTCTGAGCCTAGCAATTTGAGGTAGGGGGCAACGTATGTTATACGGCTTATTGCGTACGCCTGCACTAGATGGATCGCGCAGTGTTCGCGCATACCAGTACGTCTGTTCGTGATACGACGTAGGAGTCGGATCGTGTCGTCTACCGAACGACGTAGTCTTCGCACCGTCTCACCATTATGGCCGTTTGCCTGCAGGTGTAACCCCAGAATTCTAATTTTGTCTACGTGTGGAATGGGAGTGCCATCTGCGAATAGAACGCTTATTTTGTAGCACTCCCTTTCCTCGTCGCGCGGGGTTTACAAAAGTGAATCAGAAAAAAATGTATACAGTACAAATGAAATGACCAGACATGCCGAGGTAACTTGCACCTATCACACATTTTGCATTACGGGTTCAAATAGATCATTTTATCACATACCTATGACACATATTGCATTGCGGGTTAAGATACAGCATCCGAGATTATCCGCCTGGAAGATGACTGCGTCAGTATGGCTTCTTTGGCCCTGATGCAGGAAGAAATGAACTATCATTTCATTCTCCCATACGAACGAGATACGAGTCGCGCGAGAACACTATACTACGGCTACTGAATGAAAAACAAGGTACGGGCTGCTGCGTGCCGCCGATGCGGCAAGATGGGCCCAGTTCACCTCGGGCCTGCTCTGGCTTCACCGCTCCTTCTGGAAGAAATGCTTTGAACGCATTTTCATGCATATTAGTAGACCGTAAATAGCGCGTTTCGTAGCTGCACATCACAGGTTCGATTTCAAATTGTAATTAGGAGTACATATTGCACAGCATATGTGAACAGTTCGTGCAAGGAGGGCCAATAATTTGCAGAATATAGGCCTCAACGAGTGCTGCTCGTTTGCTTCTCCTGAACTGTAAATAAGTGTTTATCGTGAGTGCCTGCAAACGCGCACACGATAAACACTGCACTCTAGCACAGAAAACATGTGTCTGGCTGCCCCCACACACGATCACACGAACTAGTTGCCGCGCACAAACAAAGCTCACGGCAAAGTACATAGACGCTCATAAATCTTGCGGTGGCCCCAATGCTGCACGCACCGGTATCCACTTCACGTACGGGAACAATGACGTTTTCCCGGTCCCTGACGTTCCTTGGCCAAAATTACTCTACAGCCAGGTATCAGAATGCTGTGGAATTCAGATAAAATTGTGGTACTGCAAGCTAGCGTTTCTTTTCGCGTTCGACTTGCACAGCGGCACAAACAGCAGCACAACAAACTCGTTGCAACACACCGAAAAAAAATCTGCACACGCGCACATTATAAAAGCTGTTCTTAAACAGAGGAAACATGAAGGAAACTGCCCCCCCCCCACCCACACACACACGGTCGTGCCCAAGAAAGCATGAGAAAGCGCACACACACAAAATGGCAGATCCCACGTACAGTGGGAGTCCATGATAAGCGAAGCACTAATGAGAAATGTTGATATTTTACTTTGAAAGCAGCACATCGTCACAAGGTGGAGGTGAATGATGCCGTACATGACTTCCGTGTCATGATTATCACGTTTGAATGCGTCGTTCACCTTCGTCATCTAATGACGTCACGTGATAGCAACTTTAGTATATGTGGAGCTAGCGAAACGGCCACGAGCACGCTATGAGCGTGGTATGTTGTCATGTTCTTACATGACAAGCGTGTCAAGATTCCAATGTTTGCACCGGTCATATATTTAGTCGCCAAAAAAGTTGCCACTTTACGTAGGTGTGGCGTGCGTAGTAATAAAAATTGCGAGTTACCGTACATGACAACTTTATTGACGTTCTTCAATGAAAGTCGCATGATCCGCTTCACCATGGGAGCATTCAGAAAAAAAAATGCATGTACTAGCAGCATCTCTGGATGCTATAACCTCATAAAAAATTTGTAATGCTTTCAGCTGTTGTGAACACAGAGCGAAGCAGTCGCTCCAAGAAGAAAAGACGGCGTGCGTAGCCTTGCTGTTTATTTACAGAATTTCATTGCACTGTAGTCATGTGAACGATAGTCACACAACTTACTTACAAAACAACGGAATCAAATACGAAAGTAGTGCGTAATCGTCCTAGTGCCCGCACCACGCTTTCTGTGCGGTAATGCTTACGCTACACATTCGCCTAAGTTCATTTTCTGAAAGCTGCCCAAAGAGTGCTATCTGTTGTCCTGCCTAAGAAGTATGTTAATTGAAAATTTAAACTCTGTATGGTGAAATAGGAGATATTACGGGAGTGAAGGAGTCGATAAGCTTTCAGGGCAGTTGAAGCTGTGGTCGGAACACGCAGACTAATCATCACCTAGCCACTGCGGAGCAAAACTTTATATAAGTGTAAAGCCCTTAAAGCAGTTAAAAATTTTATAAAACGCCACCACCTCATGACACACGAAGCTGTCCGCTTAGCAAAAGTTTGTTGGGAGGTTGCTGCCGGACGCACCAGTGCACCAGTGCCCTCAAGATCTATGCAGGTTAATTGAGAAGATGCGTACACTCGAGAAACAGCAGAAACCTACTGAATTGTGCGTTAAGTGCTCCTTTTTCTGGTTGGTTTATATGTACTAAAAAGAGGAAAACGTTGTCACCTAATTGTTTCAAACTAGATAACTAAGTTATGACGTAAGCTAAAGATCGCCAAAATTTGCCATAACACCACTCATAATTTCTGGTCACCACGGGCCTCTCAAACTTGCCAATTTGGCGACAAATAGCCACCAGTGTTAACACCGAGGGTAAGGGAAGTGTACGATCGGTCGGAGAGGGAAGTCAGGCTTGGGAATTTTCGGTGGGGCATAGAAACCCGGTGCAGATTCATTACGGCAGATTAGTCGCAGGCAAACTGTTCTTAGATCTGGGTAATGGTTGCAAATTTCTGCGAGATCTTGTTTAGCTCTGTGTGGATTTGATTCGTTGGGTCCTTAGCTGCGTGTATGCTTCCTGTTCTAAAAGAGCTGAAATTTTCCGATCAGTAGTGCTGGCTGTCACACCACCATCGAATTGCCCTAGTCGTTGGGCAAGATGACAATGCGCTGATCCCGTTCGAGTTCTCGAAGTGCCTGGTTCTCCTCTGCGGTCAAGTTCTTTTTCCTTTGTAACGGTAATTTCGAAAGGATCCCAATAGATTTTTCTAGCGCTTGGCCTCACTCTCTGGATGGCTTCCTCTACAGCCACGACAAGTTTGGGTAGACGGGCCGTCTTTATACGTTATAGCCGTGTCCCTTTGCCATAACATATGTTTCCCGATCAGTGAGTGGACGAAATGAAAGGTTGGTGACGATCTTGTCATTTTGGATGCTTTAGGGGGAACTACGGTCCAAGAGGTAAGAAGGTTTTTTATCCTGCATGGTCTGGTCCTTCGGCTTTACCAATGGTGGAAGTTCCAATCGTTTCCCAGTTTTCATACCCAACCAGACAGACATCTGTCGATTGTTTACATTCAAGTACATCGGCGATGTTTGTACCAGTAAGCTTTTGATTGCATTATCACACGAAGAGCAGGGTTCGTACGTACGCGGTGATACATGTTTCTATCTGTGAAGTTTTCTTTCTTCTTTTATGTAGATGACACTTTCGCGCAGTTATCTAATTGAATATACGTGCTTATTTGTTTGACTGATGATTACGACCTAACAGCAGCTTGGTGTTAGTAAACAGAGATGCTACTAGTACCGCTCTGTCCTGTCAGTATGTTCTATCCCGCTTCTGTATTTCGCCTCGCGCTACAAAAAAATATCCTTTCATTTCAGACACACGGCTGTTAGTAATAACAGCGATCAACAGAAGTAGCTTTTTAGCAGGTGTGCTCTTTGAAGTCGCTTTGAATGCTATATATTCAAAACTTTCCCGTACCTGAATGTCATTGAAACACTGCGAAGCAGTCTTTGTAATGTAACTCTGGTGACAACACACTTGGGTGAAAACTAAAGCCACCCAGAACGGTGAGTGTCTGACAACCACAACAACGTCGCCTTCCCGTCTAGAGTCACTAGACACTGCGACAGTCACGGCATGTCATCTCACCTGGATGCCGAAGTACCTTACTGGTGTCTAATATTCTCTGTGGCTGAAAGTGTGTTGCAGCGTCTTAGTTTCGCTACGTAAGTGACATCATTTGTGATACTGGTAATGCTGAACACGCACCGACACACAGTAAATTCATCTGCACGCAGTGCAACTGAAGAAAGTGCTATTGTATAAATTTCTCGCCCAAGTCTGAGGAAGGTCTAAATCAGAAAATTTCAAGAGTTTTAGTTTTTTCGCTCATTTAAATGATGCTTTGTGATACCGAGAGATCACGAAGGATCGATTACATGTACGTTATTTTGTTTACTTTATTCTAGTACGTCTGTTTCAACTACGGTGCTGCACTTGCCTACCTAGTGTGCGCAATATTTGCCATCTCCATCGGACTGAACCCCCTCAAGACCACGACGTCCTTGGTTAGTGTGGTAAGTATATTCGAACACAAGAACAAGGTGATGCCTGAGGTCTGTATAATGACCATTTGTAGTAATCTTTACGTACATGTACCAAGGGCCTTATATATTTAACAGCTTGAGTACTCGTTAAATTTAAAACACCATACGAACACAGAATCAATCATTCAGGCCTCGAAATGATAAATAAGGCCACATAACTTGTGTAACAGTCTCGTTTCATCTGGATTTTCGAAAGAAAGGGAAAAAGAGGTCCAGCAGAGAAACACCGCTGTAGAAAGCTATGAATGCCTCAAATGAGAGTTTTTTTTGTGTCGGAACATTTGGTACATGAAAATTTCTTTGTTTTAAATGCCAAAACAACGTTGTCGTCCAAGGCTGTCATGTTTTGAATGATTTACATACCATGTCCACCATGAAGAGTGAGTGGTTACAGTGCTTGTTGCTGAACCGAAGATTGCGGATATGACCATGGGAAGGCGGTGGCATGTCGGTATAGGTGAACTGGTGGAAGCCCGTGTACTGTGCGATATCAGTGGAAATTAAAGAACGCCAGATAGTCGCAAGTGAAAGACTTGTTTTTGGTTGAACGACGTCGCGCTGTGGCATCGCTTTGTAAGGCTACGCGCGATGGCTGCGGCCGGCTCGCTTCATCTTTGCTTGAGCCGGAACCGGCATCAGCACCCGCCCTTGTTCTCGCACTGTGTAACGATTCTATCAGTTCCGACTTTTATTAGAAGCATGACGACAACAGCGAGAAAATATTGTGCCTCATGAGTCTATAAAAGTACACGCCCTACAAAATTTTGTGAAGCATGGAAATTCGGCTTATTGTTGCGTGTTTTGTCGAAAAACGTGTGGTTAACACCTCTCACCAGCTGCGGACAGAGGGTTTACGGAATTGATGAATTTATGCCTTTTTCCTTTGAAGACACCAACAAGCTCCATAAGCGCGCAGCGGATTAATGTGAATTGCCGATCCGTATTGCCGTCGGCCGCAACGCTCATGGTTAATGTTTCTTGCTGAGCACTTCCGCATCTGCACGATGCCAGGGTGTATACACTCAGTATAAAGTGCATTTCATTGTTATTTTGGCCCTTCAGACTCCTCCTTGTTCACTAAAGTTTCCTCATTTTCGGTAGAACGTATTCAAGTTCTGTAAATTATTGCGTTAAGAACTCGCCTCTGGCATTTCTAGTGCCTGGTCCATATTCTCCTACTGCCTGGTCTCCAGCCTGCTTTATCACTACCTTGGCATTGAAGTCGCCCATCAGTATAGTATACTGTGTTTTTGCCTTACTTACTGCCGATTCTACATCTTCATAGAAGCTTTCAACTGAAGCGTCATCATGGCTGGATGTAGGCGCGTAAGCCTGTGCCACATTCACCTTGTATCTCTTATTCAGTTTGATTACGATACCTACCACCCTTTATTTATTGCTATAGTTTTCCATTATGTTACCAGCTAAGGATCAGGAACCCCACGCCAAGTTCTCTTCTATCAGCCAAGCCACGGTAGCAAAGAACGTACCTATTCTGTAGCACTGTATAGGCCTCATCTGTGCCCCTAACCTCACTGAGCTCTATTACATCCCATTCAACACCGTATTCTCGTCTAATAGTATAGCTAGACGTGCCTCACTAGATGAGGCTCAAGCGTTAAACGTTGCGAAGTTCAGGTTCCAATGGTGGCCTGTCCGGACCCAGAGATGCCAGCAACCTCTGCTGCGTTGCAACTCTGACCGCCGCCTTGGTCAGCAGTGTCGCAGCCACTGGGCAGCAAGTGTCGTGTGTTGATTGACTTATGCATGTGGGATGTAGTGGTAAGATACTGCACCAGGATGGCCAATTCTTCTCTTGTTAGGGAGTGCGTTACCGGTGGTGGTCACCGTTGAGGCCGCACCCCAGGCCTCTTATTTAAATTCCATCGTTACGCTGGTATTTCCTTTCCGGTTGGGAGCTGCGTGGTCCCGGAATTCTAACCACTGACCTCTTGCACGCGACGCTGATACTCTAACCACTACGCCATTGTTTTTTAATATTTTTTCACGTTCCTTCCTCAAGTTTTGGTATAGCCCCGTTACACTACGTAATTCTCAGAGAAACCGAGCCTGCAGTGTTTGAGAAGTTTCGGGACTGTAGTAGACCATTTCATTAAGATAGCCCCGCTGCGGTGGTCAAGTGGCTAAGGTACTCGGCTGCTGACCCGCAGGTCGCGGGTTCAAATCCCGGCTGCGGCGGCTGCATTTCCGATGGAGGCGGAAATGTTGTAGGCCCGTGTGCTCCGATTTGGGTGCACGTTAAAGAACCCCAGGTGGTCGAAATTTCCGGAGCCCTCCACTACGGCGTCTCTCATAATCATATGGTGGTTTTGGGACGTTAAACCCCACATATCAATCGAACATTTTGTTAATATAGCGCCCACTTAGCGAAAACTAAAGATTATTCTAGAACTGGCATGGCTGCTGGCGATAATGCTGGAATATTCGACAACTCGAGTATAAATACGGACGTGCTTCGCTGCTTCTCAGTTCATCGACAGCCGGCGCGCTGTTCAACGCTATCGGTGCCGGTGTGTATCGCTACAATCTTCCTTTTCATTTGTTAACCTCAAGTAGGGCCTAAGTGAACAGTTTAATCTTCGACCTGTAGTCTTCTCCTTTCGTCTATGTCATGACCCTGTGACAATATATGAACAAAAAGTGCTTCATGTACTCGCGAACAACCGAGGAACAATAGCCCCCCGAGTTGCGACGCGCCCGTACCCTCACAGGGTGTCGTCACTCGTGCACGCCACTTATCTCGTGATGGGAGCGGTTGGTAAATCGACTTTCACCAGAAGTGTGCGTTGTAGGTACAGAGTGCACGAAGCACACTTCGTTCGCCGTAGCGAACGCGTTTGCGAAAGGCGCATGCGGCTCATACAAATAATTACACTCGTGAAAGTTCGGGATAGTACGCGCGTTCTTGTTCGAGCAGATCGCATGCAGTGCGGAGCTAACCTGGCATGTTGTATGTTCTTTTCGTGCATTCTTTCTGGTTGAGGAGCACGCTTCACGTAGGCGTTCGTCGCGGGACCCTACAATTAGTTGCTGCAGGACTCATTTCTTCGCCTTTGTGGAGAAACAATGGACAAGAAACCGCTTCACTACAACTGTGTTTTCCTCTTTGTTTATAGTTGTTCATGCGGAGTTGTAAGCAATGGCAGGTTATAAAAAAAAACACAGTATCATTGTTATTAGTGCTTTAAAATTGTTATACACAGCTGTGAGTACTCGTCGGCGTTAAAACCACCTTGTCTGTTTTTTCCTTAGATTGGCCTTCTTCTTTCAGCATCTTACTGAGCGCGCAGTTTTAAGTGATGCGCACAACGACGACCTAAGGCTTACTTTCCCCTTTTTCGACGGAGTTGATTATGACAAGCTTTCAGGAGAACCGCGGCTTCTTCTATTTCGGGGGCAAACTAGATAAGAAGTGAATGACGACTGTGCGCAACACTCAAGGTAATCACGGCAATGAATAACACGTGACGACAAGCGGTAATTGTACTGGCTCCTAACAGCATGCATCCTAATCACAATGCTTGGTTTCTCCCATGCATTTGTGAAAGTTTTCTTCCGTAGAAAAAAAAATGAAAGTTCGTGGAAGAAAGCCCAATTTTTTCGGGGCATTCCCTGCTGCCTTATGTTAAATATATGAAGTGCTCGTGCTCGTAGATGTATCAGTGCTTTTTACGCTGCAATAACGTTAAAGCATTGTCTTACCCGAGAACAGTTAAATATCAACAACATTTGGTTTGGCCCGTCTTTGATATAGTCGCATTTGACTTACCACTAATTCACTGTGATTAAGTTTAACACGACCGCGTTACAGAATGCGTTTTGCAAAACGTGCAGTGTCACCTAAGTCGATTCTGTTCTACCCAGAGGCTATGCCCATTCCCTAAGTAGCCTAGCAACAAAACACTATATATGAGTGTCATTAGCATAAGAAATGTTGCAAGGCAGAAGGGTTATATTTCGACAGGTGTCATAACCTAAGCTGCACAGTGGGTGCGTTGTGTGAAGGGCTATCTACGAAAAGGTGCTGAGGCACAATTGATTGCGTTGATCAGCAACATCACCAATAAAGTGGGCAGCTGTGCAGGGGTGCGTTCTGCCTTGCAGATGTGTAGATAGTACTGTGGAAATTGCTAAAACGAAGTAACATGGCACATTGGGCACTTTGCAGCTGTATATTTGAAGTGAAAGGCACTACGACGATGACGTCAGCACCCAAGATTGCACCATCGGCTGAACTTCTCAAAAATCAGAACATAAGGCCTTTTGATCAGGTTAGGCAATTCAAAAGCGCAGTATTAGTACGCGAAATATATATATGAATATGTACCCTTTCAAGCATCAGTTTTATTGAATCCCAGGTGTCACACTCGTCAGGCTAAACAACAAGATCTTAATCTGCCAACAGTGCACAATGTCTACGGCTTTCGAACAATGTCTTTTGTTGCTGCTAAATTCTGAACAGCATTCTTACTCTAAGTAAACGTCTGCCAAATAGGATTCAGTCACTCAGGCAACTGTTTCTATCGAAGAGTTACCAGTTGTCATGCTAATGTTGTGAAAATATATGTACATGTCGCAATATTTCCGTGTTTCTCCCTCCATGTCCGCTTATGATTTTGTAATCTGTGATTGAATTCTGTGTGTAAAAATTTTTACTCGCTAATCAAACGAAATGCTTGTCTATAACGGATCCTTAACTACCCATGTCGGCTACGCATAGGGGACTTTTCGCACAAATTTTTGTGAGCAATTTTATTGAAAAATAACGTATAGCACTCTGAAACGCGGTTCCGAAAACACAGCGCGGTTTGCTTGCTTGCTTGTTCCTTTCTTTTGTGGCTCTCACCCACTAAGGGGGATTGGCCAAGATGCCGGTGGTTAATGCAAGTAAATACCTATAGATTTTCTAGATTAGGGGAATATGATTACTGTGTTTTGACTGTGAAATT